GTAGGGAAACAGGATGATAGACTCTGGGCTCTTCTAAAAAGCTAGGCCTATGTCAATATTTTCCATCACCAGCACCAACAAACACAATCTATCTTTAGTGTTTTCACAGGGTTGTTTCAGATCTGTACTCAGGAATCATCAGTGCTTGAAGAATCAAATAATTTTCACTGAATGCAAAATTAGAGATGCTTCTCATGCATAAATAGTCACAGAAATGTATATACTGTTCCCTCAAACAACTTCTATAAGGTATAATATTAAAAATTAATGTTCATGAACATTCAGATATGTAAAACTGCACTTTAATGCACACATTCCAGTTGTTCAAAAGAGTATAATTAACTAGTAATTAGAATCTCTGTTTTTTTACAACAGTAATCATAACAGAGAAATATCCTATTTAGGTATACCTATACAGATATAAAATCTAATAAAATAAACATACTTACACTAGTATAAATGCAGGCAAAACAAAGGTTGCATTAATAATAAGCACACTGTTTAAAGCAAAGCAACTTTTCTGTTGAGATAAGATCTCGGTGTTTCCTGGGTTTTTATTATTTCATAATTCACAGAATATACCTTTTTTGCAAAAAAAAAAATTCAACTTGCTGATAAAGACTTAAAATTAAGTAGTGACGATGACGTAATTTAAATTAAAGAATAACGATTAAAGTGTTGAGGATACTGCAGATCAACTGTATGACATGGTATAACATTTGAAAAGAAGTAAATACATCTCTGTTTTGTGGTGAAGAATTGTTATGTGCATTTAAATGTTTACATTCAATATAAGTTGTTATTCAAAATTCTTTCACATCCACTTTGTGCACAAATATTCCTTAAATGCTTTCACCAGAATGGCATTGTTTATTACAATTTCTGAAACTATGTATGAAATTTGTAAACCTTTACTCATTATAGTTAGTACTCTCTTTCACTGCTTCTTTTCTCACAGGGTCATCTACTAGATGTGATCCTGCAAACAAAATTGAAACGACAATTCAAACTGCAAACCACGGTGGCTATGAAATATCAAAAAACAAATCTGAAGTGGACCAGCAATTGCTTTTGGCTGGCTGTCACCCTATACTTGTTATTATGAATCAGATTAATCTAGAAAATAATACTATGAGAGAGATAAATAAAATTTCCCTCATAAAAAAGTTACATTGTCCTATTTCCTACTACCACCACTAACCAATATTATAGGATATTTCAAACCTCCTGTTTAATGTGTAAGACCCTGTTACCTATCACCAATGCTCAGTTTTCCTTACTTACATGCTTTTTCTTCTTATTAAAATGTTTTATTAACGTTTCAGGAGTAGGTTAGATTCTTGTTAAGAGTACAAATAAGATTCTTACCTTAACGCAATTTCAAATAAATCAAAACTATTTCTTTTTCTGTTCCTGACAGCTTTACATCAACAATTCCTGTATTCCAGAATCCCACTCCTGCAGGTTTAAGGCTGCAAGAAAATTCTGTTTCTCTCTCAGATAATCCAGTGACTACACAGATCTAATATTTAAATACAATTAATTGGATTCTATACACAAATGCACAAAATTAAAAAATGCTGATGAGAATTCCACCACCAATTTGAATATCAAACTTAAATCTAAGTCATGATTCAGTAAGCAATATGCTTTGTAAAGCAATGTTTTTCCTTCCTGAAAGCTTCCTCAAGTGTTACCTGGTTTATTAAATACATTTCCTATTTAAAGTAATTAATATTATTCTTATTGTGATTACATAACAAACAAACATGTAATTAATTTACATTACACTTGTCATGCTTATCATTGAAGACTATATAGTTATAACAACAGTAACAGTGTTCGAACCTCTTCTAAGTTAAGGCACTGGTATTATACTTGAGCCTAATTTTTTAACAAGCTTAGAGAAAGCTAAAAATTTAGCTAAAACACAAACATTTTGGGTTTTCCTGATTCACTCGTCATGCAGAGTTTTGTGAAAATGCTTCTACTTTAATGTCATCCCAATCACACACAGCATTGATACCAAACACTTTAAGCATTTCAGAACTCAATGAATGAGTTCAACCAAAAGCATTACAAATGAGAGTTACTGAGAGCAAGATTCTTTTTTAAAAAGTACCTGTAGACACAACATTGGTGGCATGGTTAGAAACCGGCAGGCACTCTGCAGCGCTGTGATGCATTATCAGAGGCAGAGAGGGAGAAGAGTCAGAATTCAAGGGTACAAAGGTGTCAGATGAAGCAAACGCTTGGCAAGTCATACCCTCCAACAGGCAGAAGAGCCACTTGCCCCTGTTTCCTAACAGAATAGATCCTGTGTGATTAACAGCAGCTCAAGCTCTATCCAGGCTTTCATCTGCATATACATATACAGGAGGGCTCCAGAGCACAGGGAGGTCGTGTGCAGGTATTTATACCACAAGGAAATCCCTTTATCCATTTTAATGTTATTTTCCCAGCAATATTGCTATAAGGCTATAAAGCCTCTTTCCTTCCCGAACAAACACAATACGTGTCCAATTAATGTGGGGAGAGGGGAGAAGAGGGAAACCAGAGACATGATTTGACAGATACTTTAAATTAGGTCTTTTGAGAAGAACAATGACAAGAAAAAAAAATAAATAAGACTATCGTCTCCAAAGTCTGTAGCAATGAGACAGGTACGTTTAATACTAAGTAGTTTTCCACAGTTAACACCTGCCCCCAAAATCTAATCTGGGCAATTGTTTGGAGGGTAACCTGGCTGAGAGCTCAATTGAAAGTCTGCAGAAGTCAAGAAGTTATAGCAAAATACTCTAAATTAATCTAATGCCCAGCAGTTGTAAAGTGATCATTTGTCTTACCATATAATATCCAGAAGGTCCTGGTTTTTATTGTGCTATACACTAAGTAAAAGCTGAAATTACTTGGGAGCAGTAAATAGCAAACAGGTTACCCTAAAAATGGTGAACATTACTGCAGTACACCACAGTCACATATTCTATGTATATACCATACATTTTAAAGGAAAAAATGAGACAGATGGTCTATTTCATGCATTTTTACCTATTATTAGGTAAAATCTATTGATGTGGAAAAGTTTTTTTGTGTTCTGGTTTTTGGGGGTGATGGGATTTTTGGTGTTTTGTGACCAGAGATGCTTGGGTTCCAGTTTTTAATTATTTTATATAAAGATTATTATACTTTCTGTGTGTTTGGTACTCCAAACTGGTTCAAATGTCTGAATTAGGATTTTGACAGCATAGACTTCAGATATATGATAGGGGAGTAATCATACATGTTCTTTTGCCATTTTTCATGGATTATTGCAGAGAAGTGGTAATACATTGAACATTAGGATTTTGACAGCATAGACTTCAGATATGTGATAGGGGAGTAATCATACATGTTATTTTGCCATTTTTCATGGATTATTGCAGAAAAGTGGTAATACATTGAAACATTCTGCAGAATTCTTGATACTATTTTTAGATGTGTTTTGAGGATGGCTGCACCTGAGGCTTTTGAGGAATTTCAGAAGTACTGCATATGGCAAATTGCACATGTGCTGTAGCAATGGTGAGGCTCTATGCTCATAACTACTCTCCATATATGCACATTCATATTGCAAAATATACAAAAACTTTAAAATAATCCTTGTAATGTTATGGAAGATTCTACCATGAAATTAACTGCCACCTATATTACTTAGGGCTTGGTTAAACATAAAATAAAGTCTGTGGACTCATAAGTGCAGTGACTAATGAATGAGAACTGAGGCTTAAACTCTAACATTTCATTCAGCTGAGGGTATATTTGGAACCTATGTAATTCTCAGCTCAGAGCACAGCACTGAAGTAAACTAAGACAGAAGTCAACAATGATGACATTGTCTTATAACACCTTACAGACTATCAACAGTTCTCAAATAATGTATCTTTGTTGTGGCACAAAAACCTCTGTCAACTCCAATGGCAGATGCAAAGCATACTTGGCCAGAGCACTGTACCTCATAGTAAGCACATAAAATCTTAGACAGTTGAGTGGCAATTCAATGATTATTTTAAGCATGTTAACATCTGGTGACCTTTTCTTTCTCAGCAAGAAGCATGGAACATCCACAAAGGGCTTTCCCCCCCATACCTACTTGGAGCCAGTGGAGAAAGAGAAACACTGACAATTACTTTACAGCCTTGTCCTTGACAATTCCTTTTTCTGAAATCTCTACCTATATTATTTAGACTGCAAACTCATAGTTAGATGCAAAGAGGTTGTAGCCCATCCTCAAGTGCAAGAGGCAGTTCAACTCCAGATTTTGATTTCTTCCTGAGGTCAGGAGAATTCCCTTTTTTTTTTTTTTTTTTCAAGTGCTCAAGCTTTCCAGGCCTATACAGTTCATTAGAAGAGGCTGTAGTAGGTTCATGAAGTGTGTTCACCTGCAGAAGCTGGGACCAAGAGAGACTGGAAAAGTATATGTAGTTAGCAATCATGAGGCATTTAAATTTTCCTCAGAGCACAGTAAAAAGCTGTTCTGTGACATCATACCAGACACCACCTCAGATCAGTTTTTCATGCCATTGTTGTTTAGTGTTGTGTTTCATACTGATTAATGACTTGAGTTCTTATTTTGAGTTATTATTTGAGTTCTTATTTGTGCCACATTGCCTACTTCTCGCTACAGGTAATCACTTATTTTTCTTTTAATTTTGATTATGACTGGGTTTTTAGTTATATTCTGTTTAAAATAAAGTTATTTAGCTGCACTGTTGAGGATTCTAAATAGCCAGATTCTGTTACTAATATTACATATAGGCAATTTTCACATTCATCAGATACAACAATTAAGTTCATTTCTAGAGAGATAACATCTCTCCTAAAGTTTTGTTATAACCCTCTGTGGCTATTTTGCTAATCTATTACTTCTTCTGTTCTGCCAAGAATCCCTTGGTGGGGAAGCCATGGCATGCCAGCCACACTTAGCTAGTTCAGCTGGGCTTTAGACTGTGTCTTACTCGAAGTTACCCTATGACACTGTAGATAATAGTGTTTTGGTGAATTTAAAACTGCTTCACAAGGATTTCACCAATATTTGCTCTTCTTATTCCAGCTTCCAGCTAGACTTACAGCAATAAAAACTCTTCTGCTTGTTTTTGGAGGTCCTGTGCCCACATGGACCCAAGAAGCACCTCCTTACCGCCATGCTAAAATCTCAGGTTGTTGTCCAAGGACGCTCCATCCTAGCCATAAGAACATGCTAATCATAAACAAAAAGAATGACACAGTGCTACTGTCCTTTGTCAAGAATCAATCAGACTTTGAGACTGGAGAATTCAGGTATAACTAACAGCAGTTTCTCTCTACTGACTCTATTCTCAGAAGACCAAAGTTCTTTCAGACTGGTAGACCATTAATGGGAAACCTGGAGTGATGGGGGTATTTTGAGTTGCTTGGTTGTTGGGTTTTTTGGGGGTTTGTTTGGTTTGTTGTTTTTTTTAAAAAATCTAAATCTTACAGGGCTCTAAGGGCTACCCAAGGTTCTTTTTTTCCTCCTCAGAAATTAACAGGATGTGCCAGCTTATCTACAGCCTAGACCTGAAATACTCTCCCCTTACTTCATTGTATGATCTACAACTCTGCTCCCTCCAACCTGCAGTCTGTGGTCAGGTCTTCAAAATAAAGGCAGGAGTTTACTAATAAAGCCCAATCACCATCTGAATCTCAACATTCAGCATCCCAAGCTTGGACAGCTTATGGAAACCAAATGGATGTGTCCTTTTCTGGTGAGAGTACCTTTTTAATGAGAAAGGCTTCACTGGACATACTCAAGTGGACCAAGAAATACGCATGGAAGCTATTATCACCCAGAAAGCCCTCTCTTCTTTTATTTCTGAATTGTTTTCTAATAGTTAAAAATAGGAGAGTAATAGTTCAGCTGAGGGTTTCTGCCAGTAATTTTAGACATGAAATTACTGATTCAGTAATTCACAATTCAGTAATTTCTGCTGCTGCTCACTGACTGAAAGGGACTGTCCCTTTCGTTTACTTAAAAGTGCTCTCAAAAATTCAGTGGAGGTTTTCTGCCCTGAGACACAGAGCCCATTTTCTGTTTAAACGTTGGTACATGCCACTGTAAAGCCCATCTCTCTCCTTCTGAATCCTCAGTTGAAACTGAGCTTTTAAGTACCTGTTACTTCTACACAGAGGGCCAGGGAAAACTAAAATTTGTAATGACTGAGCCCTTTTTTCACACTGTCCTTTACTGGATAATGCTGAGCTCACTTTAATTTCTTCTCTTAATTTACCTGCAACTTTTTTACGTTATGTGGGAAGACTGATGCTTTTCCCCCTAAAACTGTTCTGATTGAATACTAATATACTGAACAGAACCTTCAAAAAACCTTTAAGATTTTGTTTAGACAGACCAAAGTGGTTTGTTTTCATGGCAGAAATATCCCTTCACATGGCTTTCTTAGCTTAGAGATAGCCTTTCACCGTGAAATCTCAAGACTGTCTGTGAGACAGTCAGGGAAAGCACCAGACTCACAGAAGCACAGCACCTCTGTTCCCAAGAGATTACCCTATCCTGATCAACAACATGGATTTTTCATTTTATCTGTGCCAGCACTACAGAATTGCAAAGGAAACCAGGAGCAATGTAGGTCTTGGCAGCAATATTCCTTCGTTCCTTTCCTAAGTCTCCAAGATCTTATTCTAGATAAGTTACAATATAATGCTTGTTCAAATAAAGAGCTTGTAGAGATGAAAGTCTACAAGCATAATCATTACAAAACTCCTAAGACTGAAACATATCCCACTCAAATAATCACCCATATGTACATCTGCACTCTGGAGAGAGGCAGTGTGTATGCACAGATATATATACACTCATGCATCTATGCATCTCTCCTTCCCACTAATGCTTCTTAGAGAATCTCTGGTTCCTTGGGCAGTAAGCTTCACTTTTGCTTTTACTGCAAATGAGTTGGGGGATGTTAAACTCTTGCTGTTTCTGACATCACTACAGCTTGCATCTTGTCACCCTTGTACATTTTTGCATAATGTACTTGTATGTAAAAATTCCACTGTGATATGTTTCATTTTTTATATAGAATATCTAACTTTGCAGGTTTTAATTCCATAACGTCATGGTTAGCTTGGTTACTGAGTGGGTCAAAAGAGAAAACTCTCTTCCGACTTGTTTCTATTTTGCCAGTAACCGTCTTTTTTTTGGATACACAATAGAACAATGAGTTGAGCACGCTCCAACTACATTCCAGATTTCCAGAGTCCCAGCTTTCCTGGGGCTTTAAGTTGTGTCATTCTTCTATATAGGGTATTTTTTTAATTCACCTGACATACCCTGCACTGCCCAGCAGCCACACAAAGCTGAGCAGGCTGTTGAAAC